CTGTCTGCCCGTACCTTGGCTTCCAGGCAGGTCAGGGGAAATTAAGGGTGTGTTTCCATTTAACATCGCTCTTTGCTGACTCTTGTCTCCCTGGAAAATTGTCTGTGAGAAGACAACATAAGATACTCTTTCTGTTAAGTCAGTTTTTCTTAATTATAGTAGTTGGGAGATGACTTAGATCATGTTGTGAAGCTCTGGGCTGATTTTTTTCCTCTATCTCCCATGCTGCAAAGGAGTTTCTTACAGACACAGGTAATAGCATTTGCTGAATTTCCAGTTGTCCCCTTTATCCCTCATTTTTTTTAACCTCTATTCATTAAAATCCTTCCAAGGTTTGTGTACACACACACACACACACACACACACACACATCAACAAACCTTTCTTCCTCTAAGTGTTACAGCTCCAATAGGAAAGGTATCCTGGGGGTCAGGAGCCAAGGAATAGCACAAAGTCACATTGCAAGACAAACCTCACACAAGGGATTTATTGGGAAAGACACAAGAGGGCAGCTGCCCTGCTTGGGTGAGAATTAGCAGAGGATTGAGCAGAAGGCAAGGTTATTGCAGGGTTTCTGGGAGGACAGAGCTTTCCAGGGTGGCCTTGGATTAGAGGAATTATATATATATATATATATATATATATATATAGTAATTATATAAATATGTATTTATTCTAATTATATATTGGAGGATATACAATTGTAGGGAGTGAAAGGAGAAGTGGGCCTTGAAATATATGCTATAGATGTTTAGTACCTAACTGTAGAAAACTAGCACGCCACCAGCACCACGTGTACTCCGTGGAACAAGCCTGAGACCACGCCATATTCACAGGAAAGCTGGTGCAGCTTCATTCATGGTCTAGAGCTATTTGTAATGCAGGCTTTCAAGGAAATCTCTTTCAGATCCGGTATAGAGAACGGTGGGCATACTTCATTTAATAGCAACTGAGCAATCGTACAGCCAGTCTCGTTACCTTATGTCGTATCTCCCAGAATGCTTCAGGCCATGGTTTACAGGCAACTGCCATTTATTCTTTAAGATTTTTTTTTTGAGATTGTAATTTAATTGAAATGTTTCTGTTCCCCTGGAACACCTGCTCGCTCCTGTACAAGCTGGGAAACCCCTTCTGTCCTCCTTCCCCAACCCCGCCTGCATTGGGGAGCAGCTGAACAAAGGAACGGTACCCAGAGCCCAGTTCACCAATTCCTGGCAGCTCTCACAACCTCCTCCCTTGCTTCCAGCTACCCAAATCCCCACCTAAGTGCTCAGCTCTTGATCATGCTTGGGCACAAACCCAGCTTACGCTGACACGTCATCACCCTTTGTCTACCGTCTGCAACACTTGCCTGCCCTAGCCTGAGCAACACAACTTCCTCAGCCCCATTCTCTGGGACTGAAGAGCCTCTCCTGGAGCAGCACCTAATAAGCCTGCCTTTATCTGCTTTTAATCTGGTCTAATCTGGCCTATATCTGCATCATGAAGAGAGCAAAAAGCCCATTAGTTTCTCCAGTCCCTTTCCTCTTTTCAAATGGTCCCACAAACACCTCATCACTCCTTCAAATTCATGGCCTCTTTCGTCATGGTTATTGCATGATTTTGGTTAGCAGTTTTGCTCAGGCTGATCCACTAACATGGTTATACGCATAATTAGTTAACAGCTTTTAATTTCTGGATTGTTCTCCACCACAGTTTGTCTTGTCACCTGTTGAAGACAGCTGGGTTGTTTCTACATTGATATAATTATAAATTATACGGAAGTTAATTAAAACTTTAAAAACATTTACTCATTTGTGTCTCACACATTCACACATGCCACAATTTATGAAAGTTGATTCTCTCCTTCCACCAGAATCCACATGGTGTCTCCCAAGCCTCTGTAATTCCAATTACAGGGAATCAGACGCCCTCTCCTGGCCTCTTTGGGAACCAGGCATCAACATGGTACAAATACATTCAGGCAAAACACCTCATATATAACATTA